GTCATCACTGTGCTTCTATGTTCCTGTTGCAAGCTCTTGTTTAATTCTAATTCATGCTCCATATATTGTTATATAAAATGCTTACTTATTCTAATATAGGAGTAAAACAATACCCCCCAAAACACTATGTCTTCTATTATATTTAACCACCAGATGTCTTACCATGGAAATCTCCATCTAACAGAGTCTCAGTGCTTAGGTTTTCAAGGCCTGATGCACATACATCTGTGTTTTCTATAAATCCTCAATCATTGAGTCATGAAAAGGAAGAAAGATATGCAAACTAATGAGCACCAGAAACCTTACAATGGAGTAGCACGGAGGGAGCAATAGCATTTCACAGACAACACTCTGAAAATTAAAAATCAACCCCCTCAAAAACAACAAACAAATCTATCCAATACTAGAACTACTCAGGAGGCTGAGACCCCGAGGATCACAGTTTGAAGGCAGCCCAGGCAGGAAAGTTCGTGAGATTCTTATTTCTGATTAACCAGCAGAATGCCAGGAGTGAAGCTATAGCTCAAGTGACAGAATGTTGGCCTGGAGTGAGAAAGCTGAGCGACAGCACCCACACCCTGAGTTTAAGCCCCTGTACTTACACAAACACACACACATTCTCTCTCTCACACCCTCACACACAACCTACTATAACAATTACATATAATTAGATTTACTATATATATATATATATATATATATAGAGAGAGAGAGAGAGAGAGAGAGAGAGAGAGAGAAAGCAAGCAAAGAAAATATTTAAAATTCTGATTTTGACTGCTGTCAATAGTACTGAGCATGGGAAGAATTTTCATTTTGTAAACAGTAAAGATTTTAATATTCCCAAAACTTTCCAGGTTGCATATGTTTTGTCAAATGTCCATTCCTTCCAGTGTAATCATTACAACGCTATTTCTTTTTTTTAATTATTTAACTAAGTTTTTATTGTGAAAATATTGTACAATCACATGAGCAAGGTAATGGGTACATTTCTTATCAAGCAGTGTTGCCTCCTCCTCTGTTTTTCCCCTACCATCCCTTCCCTCTCATCTCCACAACTACATCCCTCCCCCCACCTAAATTGTAAAGTTCATTTGTCAATATAATGTCTCGTACATCTCATTGTTGCAATAGGTCAACCTGTATCCCTATTTAAACAATTTGTTTTTTCCCTTCTACTCTCCAAATGCTATTTCTTTCTATATTTACTCATATATGAATTATTTGTGGCATATCCCTATATTCCTGTGTGAGACCCTGACCAATGGATTCACAGTGTCTATAGATGTCTGGCCAAATTCTAAGCACAATAGCTTTCTATTCTATACCATGTCTGGTTTCTATGCAAATTGTCTTGAAAATTTAAATTAGCATTTACCTCAGAGCAAGGTGCATGTGTAATATTGACGTACACTACAGTACCCAGGAGGTAGAAATAATTAAGTAACAGAATTTGAAAGACAAGGATATTTAACTTGGCAAAACAAGAAATATGCATAATATGCATAATTTGTATGCTTACAGAGTAAGGATTCAAAAATTCCTTTTTAATATTAAACTAATATGAAAATGAGATACTTTATGCTCATGTAGATCAGAACTTTTGTTAGCCATTCAAATGAATGATAAAATTCAAAATATATGTAGCTAGCCTCTCTAACATTTTCTTACAATCAAATCTCTAAAAATAATATTAATGTTATAAGTAACATTTACTTTCCTGAAATATTTTTATATTTCAATTTAAAAATAATCTCAGCCGTGTGACTCTCAATTGAAGAAATGTAACATAGTAAGTACTGAGATTATTGATTTATTATATGCTATTTTTATGAAAACTTAAAGGCTCAGAAACTTTGTATTTTAAAATGTTACCCTTAAATTACATTTAACATGAAAATATCTTCGACACAGCAAAACTAATGACCATTTTGTCAGTGCTTAATTCCTTAATAAAAACAAAACTTGGAAAACCCAGAACCTAAAAGACTTCCACATATACCCATTTCTAAGCAGTTGCTTCATTCATTCTCTTTGATTCACTCAAACAATCTGCATAAATTGCCTTTGTACTCTCTGTGATTTTGAGTGCTAAATCAGCCCAAAATCTTTGTCCATCTTATAGCTTGTGAATTCTCATTTACATCCTAGCCTAGAACAAACCTATTTTCATATTATTAAGTGCAGTTGTTTATCATATAAAAACAATAATCTTGTTTAGTTAGGTTTTTTTTCCTTTTTTCCAGTAGTTGGAATTGAACCCATGTCCACACTCTAGGCAAGCACTCTACCAACTGAGCCTTGCCATCTGCTGGAGTTATTATTAATATCAGTTGACTTAGAAGATGTCAGTCCTATATAACTTTATCCTGGCCTCTGGTATTACACTGTACTGTAGGAGGAACAGAATATCAAAGCCAGTGTGAAAATAATATGAAGACAGTAAAGACACAATGTGCTATCACTTTTACAAGTCATCCCAGTCCCCACTGAAATACAATCTACTGAGTGGCCAGCCTCATGAGTAGCCCACTTTATAGCTAAAGCTAATTTACACAGGTAATAGAATAAAAACAGGCAACCTGAGAGAAACTAAGTGCAAAAACTTACATTATTTATTGAGTACTAACTGTATGCTGTATGTTGCCTCACATACTGAGATTGTAACTAGGAAAAATTAGACAAAAATCTTTGACTTCTCAAGATTTCATTTTAGAGAGATCCAGATCTGTGAAAGGGAGGGTGGTGAATTTCATTGGGCCAGCATTTTGAAGAAGAAAATATATTTTTTAAATCTTATTTCTAGTTGGTAATCATGAAAACATAATAAGTAAATTACATTGTTACTATTAACATTTTAGTGTTGAAAAACACTTCAGGAGTAAAATATAGTCTCTAATCGTCTTGGATTTTCCTTTTAGAATGTTTAGAATAATAATAAATAGTTTCAAATGGGCAACATAACTAGCATACTTAAAAGTTAATGTTAGAGATTTTCTTAGCAGTAATTTTCTAATGTCCCTTTCTTCATTTTATTTTGTGATCCCTTCTCATTGAACTGTAACTGACTCATGCCCTAATCCAGTTAGTTAATGGTTTTAGATAAAAGCATGGATTCTTTGGATTTGTTTTTCTTGTGCCACTGTTTCTGAAAAAGAAATGGAGGGAAAAAAGCAGACAAGTAACCAGAGAAAACAAAATAGTTGTTATAATTACTTTCAGAGCAATCTTAGAAAGGTATCTCCCCCAGAAAATAAATGCAAAGAATCTTGGATTTAATTAAATTGGTTTTGTTCTTTTTTTTTTTTAATCAAGGGCCTGGATACTATCCATGAGCTTTGTTGCTCAAGGATAGTATTATTTTACCACATTAAGCCAGAACTCTACCTCTGGTTTTCTGGTTTTCTGGTAGTTAATTGGACATAAGAGTCACATGGACTTTCCAGCGTAGGCTGGCTTTGAACTGCAATTCTCAGATCTCCGGCTCCTTAGTAGCTAGGATTAAAAGTGTCAGCCAACTGTGCCCACCTTGTACTCCTATTGGAAGAGAAAGACCACTTATAGTACAGAATTACTTAAGGCATTAGTCAGTGAATATTTGTTAATTAAATGTGTCAGCAGTTTTCCACCAACATCCTAAAAGAACTCATCTCCTAATGTTACCATCAACATTTGAAGATCAATTGGATAAAAAAAACTTACTTTTTTTAATGTGGTAAAGGACTAGTGTCTAAACAGATGTACTCTTTATGACTCCAACTTCCTTTCACATTAATTATAATAGATAAAATTGAATATTCTTTAGAAAGCAGAATGATAAAAAAATAAACAATTTATTTCTGCCTGAAGTATGGAACTATGTTCCTTAAAAATAAAATCAATCTGATGCACTGAATTTGGAGCTGATAGAAGGCACAAGGTCACAGGTGAATAACAAAGTACAAGTCAATACATGGCCTGACTTGGAGAGGAAAGCCCATTGTCAAATACTCATTAAAACAGAGTGCATCTATGAGCATTATATTCTATGATTTCCATCCGTATTATTCAGCTTGTACTGTGAAAGAATCAATCTCCAAGTAAAATTCAATTTAGTGACAAATTGACCAAATAAATGCAGCTAATATAGATGCTCACTTGTTACACTTAATAGAAGTGAAGCTCTTAAACCATCTTGAGATTAATCTATGATCCCATAACAAATCACAAACCACTAAAACTTTCCTCCCTTATAGTTGTACATGTAATCAGAGAAAACTAAGCATGTATTTTCATTTTGAACTTTAAATCTATGTTTTCATTCCATATTTAAGTCCAAATCATATCTGACTACAGATGACCTTGTTTGAGGAGAATGTATTTCCTATATGTCTTTGTTTATTTATTTGTGAAGGTATGGGCCTGGACACGGTGCCTTCGCTTTTACTCAAGGCTCTACCACTTGAGCCATATCTTTGCTTCTGGCTCAGGGACAGTTAATTAAGAGGAGAGTCTCACAGACTTTCCTGTCCCAGCTAGTTTTGAACTGAAATCCTCAGATCCCTGCCTCCTCAGTAGCTAGGATGACAGGTGTGAGCTACTAGCTCTGAGCTCATGGGTTTTATTTTAAAATCTTAAATTATCTCAGCATTTCTTTTCTGTGCATTTACAACTTCCAAATATTGCCTCAGTTCTTTACTCAGTTATTATTAACCCTGGTTCACATTACATTTTAAAGTTCTGCAAGGGTTCCTAGTTCATGAAAAATAACTGCATTTAACCTATAAAATTATATCTGTCTCAGTGCTGTTATTGTTATTTGTCCAATTTGTATTGGCTCACGCAAATCGAAACCGAAATGAAAATAACAATGTCTCTCAATTGGGTATTCACCAGAACAATAACATTTTTTTTTGGTTTTAGAAAATTAAAAATAAAGTTCTCAGCGTGGCTAGATCGTTTTGTCGAGTTTACAGACATTAGGTTAACGTGAACATGAAATGCATCATGTATGTGCTGCTTACCTGTGCTGCTGGAAATATTAACATCAATGCTGATATCAGATATTCCTCCTCCTTTCAGAGAGGCTACACATGTGTATGTCCCAAAATCCGTGAATTTTAAATCAATGATATCCAGGTTTGTGGTTCCGGGGGAGACGTCAGGGTCAGTCTGCGTGATCACCATCCGCTCAGAGCTTCTCAGTGGACGGCCGTTTTTAAACCAACTGAAAGTTAACTCCTCGGAAGGGACAGCTTCCACTTGGCAAGATATTTTCACCTCCCGTCCAATCTGGATGTTGTCATCTTTGTGATAAGGATCAGGGGTGATCCAAAATCGTCCTTTCTTTAGTGCTAAAATATAAAAATTCCATAAGTAGTTAGCATTCTTTTTGGGAATGCTAGGTAAACATGTCTGAGCTGAAATAATGTAAAGGAAAACAAGATAAAATATGCACATTTCTGTTATTTGCATATAGTTTGCATACCCATCAATCTTATCTTGACCATCCCGAAATAATATAAAACCTTAACTCACTTGAGAATTCTTAAAAATGCTTTAATTGGATGATATAGTCCTTCAAAGATTATATTTAAGGCTGATCAAAACTGGCCCAGGAAGAAATGAATTGATTCACATTCACAAGACATTTTCAAATCGAGAAATAACTTGAACTAGAATTTTTTTTTAACAAGCGAAGACTTTTGCTATTAATTCTTTTGTGCTGCCATACATAGGAATTTCCTGTTCATTGTGTTTGCTGATTATCTCATGCATATAACCAAAACACCCTCTCTGAGAGATGGCTTGGAATATCTGCTATGTTTCTTTCCCAACCACAGTGTTTTCTGGATCTTGGCTCTCTACCTGGATCAACTGTAAGGACTCCAGAAGGCTGCTGGGGGAGCAGTTGCAGGCTTACTAAGAGTCTGAACTCTGAATGACACTGTGCAACTGAATATAAAACAGAGTTTTCTCCTTTATGCCAAATAGTCTTATACTCACGCTCTTCTTTTTCCAACATCCTCTAATTTCCCTTCATCTTAAGCATGCTTATATGATACAAATATATACATGATAAAAGTAGCAAATGTATAAGACACCATCATCAGGATAAAATGGTGGTCATTCCCTTTTATTATGAACCCAATAGGCATAAAGATGCTATCAAAAATGATGTCAATTTAATAGACCTGCAGACACCTAAAGACTTTTAACTTTGTTTTGCATAATCCCTCCTGTATTTAACATGGTTTTTCTCAGTTCAATGAATACCAGGAAAAATCTGTAAACATGAAGAAGAAGCCAGAGATGAGAGTGTTTTTAAATTTAGAAAAAAGTTGTTTCTAAATTTCTCTTTTTTTAATGTTTTTTATTGTAAAAATACTGTACAGAGGGGTTACAGTTACATGAGTAAGGTACATTTTTCATTGAGCATTTTTGCCTCCTCCTTTGTTTTTCCCCTACCATCCCTTCCTTCCCCATCTCCCCAACTAATCCCACCCTCCCCCAAAGTTGTAAAGTTCGTTTTCAACATAGGGTCAGGTACATCTCATTGTTACAATGGGTCAACCTGTACATATGACCATATAAGATGATGTTAAGCAAAATTAACCCCAAGATAGGGACACAATTTTTTTCTTTCTTGCTATTGTTTTTAACGTATTTATAATGTACTATATGATTTTTCTGTTTCTTTGGTATGTTCCTTCCCCATAGTATAACCTCTGTTTTCATTGAACTTGATTCTGATGTCCTGCATCTTGTATGTAAATTTTTCTAATTTGGTGAGGGGAAGGGAAACAACAAAATACTTCTCAATTTCTTGACTTGTTAACTTCAAATATATTTTGCATGGTTTTCTATCTATATATAATGAAGAGAAATAAATAAAAATGAAAAACGAAGATTGAAATGTATACCTTTCTTTTTACTCAAGACATAGCTATAGGAGTACTTCTCTCAACTTAGCATTAGTTAAGTTCCAATTACTTAAGATAAACAAAAGAAGAATAAACCTAATCTTCACTTCCCTTTGTATGCTCATAGATTATAGGTCAATTTATGCACCAAATAAATTAATACATTAAGTAGGCATGAGGTGTTTTATATGCTTTATGAAATAAGCATCTCGGAAAAGATGCTTAGAGTGACCACTAAGTTTGTCTCAATGAAAGCCCCAGGAAGCAAATATAGCATGTTTTAGTATTATTGCTTGTTAGCCTCTTCTATCATAAAATTCAGTCTATGAATCTTATTTATGCCTATCTTTAGAAATAGGTAACTGTGCAACAGAGTTAGGGTACCTTGGGAGTCTTCTACTCCCTACAGTGAGAGATTTTCATCTTACACGCACTGAGGGATGACTTCACAATGTCATGGCTACCATACCTGGTGTGTAATATTTTGCATAAGCAATATAAATGTAATCACAACTCTATAGTACACAACAAATCACATGAACATAGAAATGGGCCTAAAATATGTACTTACGTTAGCATTATAACAGGTAAATGAGTCCTCTATAAGATTGTTCCTTAATAACAAAATGCTGAAATAAGGATACAGGTTGACTCATTGTAACAATGATATGTACAGGATACTATGTTGAAAACGAACTTACAACTTTGCAGGGAGGTGGGGAGGAAGAATTGGGGAGGTGGGGAAGAAATGCATAGTAGGGGAAAAACAAAGGAGGGGATAACAATGCTTGATAGGAAATGGACTTATTACCTTGCTCATGAACTGTAACCCCTCTGTACGGTATCTTTACAATAAAAAATATACTATTTTTTAAAAAAAGATTGTTCCTTAAAATGTTTGTAAAGAAAAATGATAAACTTAGGTGAATTTTTTTACAATGGCCATCAATTTTGAAAATTTCAATTTTTACATATTCACTTAAAAATCAATTCATATTACTAATTTGAGAGTATATCAGAGGAAGATTTTGTTAGCATTCAAGGAGATTCGTTTTTTTTTGACATCTCCATATTTCCTTACCTTGTTCCCCGATCAGAACATTCTCTTCCATCACTCTCTTGCCTTCTCCTCCCCCTTCCACACAATTTCACAAGTTTCATTCATTCATCTGTTTTCACAAATGTGTATAAACTACTTGGAGCACGTTCATATTCCATTCACCTTTTATTCTCCTTCTCCTACCACTCCCCCCCACAAATCTGTTTTACATACCTACTATTCATCTTAGTTTTTAGGTATATGTTGTTTAAAGAGACTCCCCTTGTTGTATTTCACACAGACATCTATCCTATTAGTTTCTCTTTCTTCTTTATATCCGCCCTCTATTATTCAAATATCAGTGAGTTTCCTAATGTTGTCCAGATACATAGTTCTAGCCAGAGAGCAGTCTCTTCTTGCTCTCCCGTTAAGTCCCTTCTTGAGTTCATTTGCCCAAATGAATGATTGAGTTATCTTATGTTAGTTTATTTTTTGAGCACCCTGAATAGCCTAGTAATTAATCCCTTGACAGATTTTTTTCTAATCTCCAGACTCTCTATTCTCGCTCTTGACTATTTCCTTTGCTGTACAGAAACTATAGAAAATATAAGAAGATACAAATAACTCCTGAATTTTATCGGCTCACACTGAACTAAGGCTAGAACTCAACATAAAAAAATTAAAAACAAAACAAAACAAAATGCATGGAAACTGAACAACTATTGGTGAATGATTAACAGATCACTGAAAAATATCCCAAAGTTCCTAGAATTTAATGAAAATGAGAATATAATTTGCAAGAACTGGGGAAACAGCTACAGTAATGTTAGGGAAAAAAGTTTATAGCTCTGATCATCTACATCAGCAACAAATGAACAAACACAGCCCAGAAAAATCTTTAAAAGTACCTGATGAAGCATCTCAATTAGCAAATGGAAAGAATTAAAGATTAGTGCAAGAAATCAATGAAATAGAGATTTAATCAAACACAGACAAAGAAATAAAAAGTTGGATCTTTGAAAAGATAGATAAGCCCTTCATTAATCTCACTAAAAGGACCAGAAAAAGGAACCAAATAAAAACATTAGAGATTAGTAGTGATATTACAATGAATAACAATCCAGAAGATCATGAAGGAACAATCTGAAAACATGTTCAAATAAATTGTGAAACCTAGCAGAAATGAGTATATTTCTAGATACATTTGACTTACCTAAGAGGCTATAAACCACTTAAATAGACCTATAAGGAGCAACAAAATTAAAGCAGTAATAGTCTCTCAACAAAGAAAAGCCCATGAACTAACAGGTGTGCTACCAAATTTTACCAGACATTTAAAGAACTGATATTCACACTCCAAATTATAAATGGAAGGAATTATAAATGGAAGGAACGTTATCAAACTTATACTATGAAACTACTATTATCACCCATTCCAAAACCAGTTAAAAATACAACAAAGGAAGAAAATTATAGGCCAAGCTGATAAACATAGATGACAGAGAAGCCAAAAATATTCAGTAAAATATTTTCACGTCAGTTTGTATCAGGGTACACTTATGAGTAATGTTCATTGCAAATGTATATATTGGTTGTCATATGCAAACACACAAAACAATTGTTTTGTACTTGACATTAACTTACTGTGCACTTATCCACAGTTCTGTGCTCTGCACAGTAGCATATTAAATTGATTTGGCATTGAAAGGTTATAAATATTTAAATCAATATTCATACTACACATTGTGGCTGTTCAACTAATAACCTGAAACTGTAAAATTAAAAGTAAAATCTAAATGTAAAATATTTATAGAAAGCAACGTAATAAATGTGTTCCAAAAAATGATCTCAAAAAGATATGAATTTGAGCCAGGCACCAGTGGCTCACATCTGTAATCCTAGGTACTCAGGAGGCTGATATCTGAGGAACGAGATTCAAAGCCAGCTCAGGCAGAAACGTCCGTGAGATTCTTATTTCAAATTAACCACCAGAAAACTGGAAGTCGCACTGTGGCTCAAGTGGTAGAGTGCTTGCCTCAAGCTGAAGAGCTGAGGGACATAACCGAGGCCCAGAGATCAAGCCCCCCCACTGACAAAATGATATGAATTTATTTTTTAAAAAATTGTTGATATCAGCATTGGTTAATATTGGGGATTTGGCTTAAGCTTATCATATGAATTTTCTAAATAGCAAAATCTCTAAAGAGGAAAAAAATTGACAAGTCAATCTCTTGCCTGAGTTTCAATGAAGAAATATCATGATAAGTAGAGTGGATCATTTGGCTTTCAAGCCAACTCTCTTACTTTTATATTTTCTGTTTATCAAAGTAATTTATTCTACATATAGAATACAAACAACTTAAGGAAAATAAAATACTGTGTGCATGTGTGT